ATAATAAAGTAAAAAAAATAATGAAGATACACGAGCTTTATTTATTTTTATCTCTTAACTACGAATACTCATATTCTTTATTAATGATCCGTATTGTTCCTGCCTAAAGTATGTTGCAACCCGATGCAGTTAGTGCCTAAATTCCATTAGTAAAGATTGCCAGTCATTTTATAAGTCTTATTCGATTCCCTGATCTTACGTTTATTCTAGACTCATTTACTCTGCAAAACATTATAGGATCCCATTATGACTAACTCAGTAAAAAAAAGTGCTATACCGCAACATAAATTTCACTAGCCTGCAAGAACGAAGAGATAAGCAGGAAGTAACATACCAAATTATCAGATTATATGAGTTATGTTCACCCTACTCCGTTTAAGGCGATTCATGACTGATATTTGATTTTCTCACAAAGATATGAGTGGAGCTGATGGTTTCCATTTAAAACCTACTCATTAGCGATACAAATCATCGGATGTGAAACTCCTACTTCACGAGTAAGCTATGAGAGATGGGATTGCATACAGCCCTCAGTACTGTATATTGTGAATTGTAGGTAATAAATGCCGACTATGACGTCTACTACATGAGATAATAAAGCTCGATATGGATTAATCAAGATATTAGGACAATGTAACAAATATTTTATTTAAAAAATCTTTTTTTGGTTTCCAAATACCCTTTACAAACTTTTTAATACGACGCAGTCACCATGAGAGCGATTGAACAAAAACTGTTTACTAATGCACAGTAATTACCTCCTCCTGAGACCATTTGCCACAAATATGGGTATTTTAGCTTTGCTGTCCCAGACCGCCATTCCAAGGACGGGAGCAGCATGCTTGAGCTGTAGTTCTTTTATAATCTGAACTGAAACCGGACCCCCTTGTGTCTCGTTTGGCCAGAACAAACTGTGTACTAGAACGGCTCCACCTGCAGTTCCAACAAGAAGAGCGGGAGTACGGTATGATAACACTGGAGGCTGATATTCAGAAGAGCTAGGATGACCTTGAGCTGGGCGTGGTGTAATTACTTGTGTGTCGGTAAAAAGGAAAGAGCAGACGCGAGCAGAAGTGGTATCAAAGGGACCCAAATGGATAGGCTCAAGTGGAGCTGGTACTGTGGCGGTAGGAGAGCTGCTAGTCTCTGCTTCACTAGATGTAGCCGGCTTTGTTGACACATTTTGTGGTTGAACTGCATCTACAACCGCACCAGTCACTGATTCTACTGTGTGACTCGCAACAGTACAAACGGTCTCTGCGGTAGTGGCAACAGCACCAGTGATGGCTTCACCAGCCGCAGTTGCAACTGATTTGGCCGCATCAATTGCTTCTGTGACAACTTGGCAAAAATGGGTTGACAGAATATCAATTTTATTTTATATCGATTAAAGAGAATAAGAGTAAAATAAACTTAAGATAATAACGTATTCCTACTTGTTGCTTCGATGGGTTGCACATCAGCAGCAGAATCATGAGTGGTCTGCGCCTCTTCTAGAGTCGCAGAAGGTGCTGCTTGTGTCCGTCGCGGTGTGGTAGCAGACTTTTTCAGGCGCTTAAAGGATTGCCGGATACTGGCCTTTAAAAGCTTGCCTCGTTCCCTCAAAGAGCTACCCGAGCCTGCTATATCATTTGAAAATAAATATATAACAATCACCGGGATCAATACAAACCGAAAAAATATGACATTATCATGCATATGCATGTAAGAAGCATAGGATCAATGTCGAAAGAAGTTCTGATAATAAGGATAGTGATCTAATTCCAGATACATTCCTGTGCTAAAATGTATAAAATGCACGTAATCGGAGAAAGACCATATCGCAATGCTTACATATAACAGGATGCAGAGGTGAGATGGGAGTGTAAGGGCATCATGCAAGGACAGCGCGTAAGGATCAGGGCGAAAATGGAGTGGAGGCCATAGTCAAAAGGAAATAGGTGTCGTGTCCTTACTCGTCTTATTTGTGTGCGCGTGTATACAACTGATCGGCTCAGGATGATTGCCTGGTTAGGCGTGATAAGTCAGGTAGATATAAAATTCTTATACCGAGTCATGATTAGAGGTAGTCTTTATGTGAAATGAGAAAGTGTAGTGTGCTAGATGCAATGCCCTGCAGCGAGGCCAATCAATCGAATGATAAAATCATAGTCAGTACAATTATACCCACCATAGACAAGTCGAAAGGAATAGTTTCCAAAAGTGAAATGAAAATGTGCAATGCTAAATTTAGCCAGGCTCTGGGTACAGAGTAGACTATTCCTAGCTTCATAGGATATGTAAAATGCGTTCTCCATCAATAGTATAAATTTTTGCGATTTGTCTTATCTGTGACGGGTTCTATGTCGTTAATTTTAGCGACGACACCAGTTATCTCTGGTGCCGACGTATTTGCATGTTGCAATATCTCATGGTACCGCTGAGTAATTTCCTAATCTGACGACCAGATTCTTCAGTTAATATGCAGATAAGACATTGAAGGTCCAACGAAATAGAATAGGGGGAGTTGGCATCCATAGACCATCTCTGTGGGCTGGAGTCTGTGTCTGACTTGATCGTAGAGTGTAGGCTCAATATGAGCAAGAAGTGGCCACCCAACTATTATGGTTACAGTGGCACACTAATCCGACCCTTAATTGATGAAAACATCCTATCAAGAAGCACAAAGAATGCAGTCAGCGGTCCGATGATAGAAAACATTTTAAATATCATGACAAAGGACGTAGGATTAAATATATTCCACGATGTCTCTGTTCCTCCAACAAACAAACGAAGGCGGGTAGAAAATAACGCAATGCAGATAAAGGATACTGTTGCCAGACCAAAGAAACGCCATGTTAGCCTTCCTTTGAGATTCGTGATTCGTTCTAAATATCGCATTCAGCAAAAAATGTTGGGTGTCTGCTTATTGATACATCATGCCTAATTGTTTACCACTTCAAGATATCCACTTGTAGCATACTCAGTTATGTTCATTAGATCAGTCTCCTAAGTGTGCCCAAGTTTCCGAACCTCAAACTCGGCCTTAAAGTCAAATATTGTTAGCACGGCGATAAGCTCTGTCAGAGACAACGTTGTCTGCAACCGGTATCCAGATACCCTTTTCTATATGTTGCGAGGCGCAGATAAACAATTTAGTTGAAGAACGAATCACAAAAAATAATGATGTACAAGAGATGATGGAATTACAAAGGCATTACATGGGATAGACCTTTAAGATTCAAAATAAATTGAGAGCCTAAGAGAGCTGATGCCCTGGTCAAGAGAAAGGGTGTGCAGTGTTCTTGCCCACTTTGTTTAATGAGTTAGTTAACTGGTGTGCATATGTGTGTGTGTGTTCGTCAACCCCTGACTAGTGTTGATGTTATGGTGACGATGTTATAGCTTGGTCTAAGTGATCAGTCGGATAGGTCCAATTGGAAAGCTCGCGTGTATAATTCGTGGTAAGTAAGTAATGATAAGAGCGGTTATGTAAAATAAAGTGTTGTGTACTAGATGTGACATAATAATTCGATACTACAAGTTCATTCGAGAAAAGTAAAATTTCAGAACTACCTTCATTTCCACTGGTTGCGGTTGCCTCAAGAGTTGTAGCTTCACATGCCTCCTCGTGCGCCTTAAGTAAGCAGTGAGAATGGATGAGAGATCGACTTAATAGATCGATAAGAGCAAAGCCATGAGGAGTTCCAACTGCTGCCACTTGCCAGAGCGGTTCTATTGAGAGAGCCGTAATGCAAGCGGGGGGGTGCAATTGTATTAGCCCGATCGGATGAATAAGAGCCTGGGTAGTGATAGCCTCGTCAACAGGCACGGGTCCTTCACGAGCCTTCAGAGCATCAATTGGATAGGGCTCATAATCCGAGCAGGGACGCCAGACGAATTTTGTATCTCTGTCTTCTATATCAGCCAACAGGTCGACTTGAATCTTGGCAACGTCTGGTTCAAATGTGCCAGCTCGCTTGATCACAGCAGCTGTCGCAACCGTCGGACAAATATGAGCGGGCGTGCAAGGAAGGCTGCGCCAAAGACTAACCTGGCCTGCGACGCCGCCGACGCCCACGAGCAAGCATACAGGGCCACTTGAGGTGTCAGATTGAATAGTGAGTTCAGAGTTAGGTGTGTCCAAGCAAGGGCTGAGAGGCTCTGATAGACCAGCCACTGGACTAGCAATCACCTTAAGTAAGAGCTGGGAAACTGAGAGGCGTGGATGAATGGAAGATATCGAAGAATGGCAGGTGCCGACACGCTGGAATGGTGGCCAGCAATCTTCGGATTTACCATTAAATTTCTACAAGATAATATATGAAACACAGAATAAGAGAAATTGAGAAATCATAACTTCTAGTCGAATAAATTTTGCAGAAAGATACCTGCCTGTTTTCGTTTGAGTAGGATTATAAAATAACAGTAGATCATATGAGATGTACTAAACTTTATTGGTTCAAATGGATGAATCACTAGTAGTTGAATTTTTTCACAAGTATATGAATAGGCCTTATGATTCCAACAAATTTTGCAGAGCCTTGATTTCCAAAGGGTATTCTCATCCAGGATGAATTGCAGTTTCGACCTCGTATAAATCTCACCATTATCATACAACAAACAATCATTGATCATCTTAAACGAAATATGATGAACAAAAGATTAAGATGCAAAAGTCAGCGAAAATCTCGCGTATTGCATGAGCCGAAATTGAGATTGAGGAAAGATAAAGACACTTGGACCAAGGACACCTATACAACAGGAAGAGATCGCCATGATCATGAGGGACAAATGGAAGTCAAGAAAAGGCGATTGCAATATAGTCAAACCTGGAATCAACTTAGAGCTACCAGTGTGGGTCCAAATATGGGATAGTAAATTAAAGGCCATAAATATATATGTGAAGCATTAGAGGTGTTAAGCTAAAGATCTAGGTAAATTTCAAATTCATCAATGTGGAAATCGAGCTTGAGGGCGCAATATCAGTTGATCCCAAGTGTGTGTTGCAGTAGTGATGTGGCTATATTCGTGCCTAATTAGAGGGGTTACAAACAAACGTACAACTAACGACTGACTAGAATATTAGGATTAGGTGGGACTGTCAAGAATTGTGCTTTACGCGATTCAGGATTGGAGAAGGGAAGCGGTCCATCTATAGACCAGCGGTTCTGAATCAAGCCAGACACAGGTCGTTAGACTGAGAAAGTATGAGGTGGGATGAGATAGGATAACTGAATGTTGAGTCTGAGGTCTAAGGGGGAAGAAGATGCCTAGACACGAGAATCACTAGTCTTAAATCCTCTATGACATAAACTGGGATCAGGTTTTAGGGCTCCTAGACAGCCAAGCAGCTAGTTTCATAACAGGGAACGAC